GGTTGTGCAGATGCGCTGAGACGTGTAGATTTGTTGCGGGCAATGCATGTTACATGTTCATGATGCGCTCGATCTTGCCAGCGACGTGTCAACAGCAAGGTCATGCTACATTGCGCAGAGATAGCTCACAGTCTCACAGTCTCACAGGGTTTGCATTCTTGGGTTTGTTACGAATCTTCTGTTGCATTGTTGCGCTGTCGCAGAGTTGTGAGCTGTTAGACTGCTGCATTGGCATTGCCAGCCATGCCTACCGACAACAGCAAGGGTGATGGTGGACGTGGAAGTGGTTCCAACAATAAACCCCTAGTCCAGAAAGCGAGACCACTGCGACGGCGTGACGCCGAATCGCAACTTCAAGCCAAGTGCTCACAGCCGGGACACGCCACAGCAGCAGCAGCATCAGACTTGCCAAAGGCACCGCCTTTTTCATCATATTCAGCAATGCACTCAGCGCCACCAGCGACACAGCAACCGCCAGAGCCATTGCACACTCAGCAGCAGCATGTGCCACACACGTCTCAGCAACACACGACACACCCACATGTTACACGATCACGAACCACGCCGCCACCACCGCCACCACCGCCACCGCCGCCACCACCACCACCACCACCATCATCATCATCATCAACACCCACTTCATTCCAAACATCAATGTTCCCACCAATGCCACCACCACCACTGCCGTCACCAGCAGCACAGCCGCAAGCGCAGCATCCGCCAGGACTGCCGCCATTCCCATTACCATGGCTGCCACCGCCATCACAACTTCACGCAGGCATGCCATACATGCCAGGAGAGTTACCTCGAGTATTGCCATGGCAGCAGATGATGATGCCACCTTTGCTGTCATCAGAGTTCCTGCAGCACCCAACGCTGCCGCCAGGTGTCGCACAGCCGCACGTGCTGCCACAACCACACATGTTTCCACCTCCGCGTATGCCGATGTGGACTGGGCCAGTGTTTACACCTTCTGGTGTTGAGGCAGCATCACCGCCTGCCACACCTTATGGGCCGTGCAAGCGCTCGCGAAGGACGGCCAAACCAAGTGTTGCTCCACACTTGGAGGAGGCTCCGCCTGAAGTTGAGGCACCGCCTGAAGTTGAGGCACCGCCTGAAACCGAGCCAGACGCCAGTGCTCACACGCCGTACTTGGATGACGCAGCTTGTTCATCATGTTCAGCAATGTTTGAAATGATGCAGTTGGTTTGTGTGGTGATGAAATTAATTTTTGTGAGTGTGTAAATGCTAATACATGAGCTTTAAATAATATATGGATTCCCAGTTGGCCCACGATGGTCTTGGTGATGTTCCTAGCAATTTTGCCCGCAAACCACGGCCATACTCCAAGCGACTACCGATCACGGGTATGGAAATCAATGAGCGGCTTGGACCAGCTGCAACGAGTACACCGATTGCGGATGCTGGCACCACGTGCAGGGGTTGTTTGCGCAGATTCGCAAACAACAAACGGCTGGCCCTACATTTGCGTCGTAGTTTCCCATGTCTTGTTCAAAATTGGGCTGTTGGTCAGGCCATTCCTGACGAGGCTTCTCATGCACAGGCCCCGCCACAAGCTTGGGGCCATCAACTCCCTAAGTGGTCCTGCCAGCCGCTGCATCTTGATTTCCTGTTGCGCCTAGCTGATGGTCCAGGCGATGCTATGCCATGCGACTGGCTTACAGGCTGTGTTCAAGAGTTTCTTGGTCCGTTGCCATTGCTGAGAGCGACGCTGGACTGGTGGCTCTCCAACCAACATCCTGTGTGGGCTTCAGGTGACAATGCAGCTGCTCTAAGAGGAGCGCTTGAGGATCGCGCTTGTGTGAGTGACCATCCAAGACGTAGTGATCACTGGACACATGTGCGCGGCATTTATGCTTCGATTCCAGTTGTTTCTTGGACGCCTGGCCTCGAATTTGTCTGTGTGGGCAACAGCGCTGTTTTTGGCAGATGGGGTAAACTCTTCGGCTCCCTCAACCTTCTTTGGGGCGATTTGGAGGGCGACCAGATCTTTCACGATCTACCGGAAGCTTCCTATGAGGTCGTTTGTTTCATTGAGGTTGAACGTCTCGCCGCAGAGCCTCATACCTTTCGGCTAGCTCTGCAAGTGCTATTGAAATGTTGGGCAGCAGGAAAGCCCTGTACAGTCATCAGCAGCTGCCCTGAATCTTTAGCTGCTGTTTTTCTGGAGCCCCCGCTTAATTGGGTCCGCTGGCATTTCGTACAGGCCATGAACCATACTTGGAGGGTTGCGAGCAACAGGCCATTCAACGACAGAGGTCGTCTTGAAGGGGCCCTGTTGCTTTCTTTCTTTAATTAGGTGCTTAGCGTAGCGAACCTCAAGGACACTGAACGCAACGGAAAGGAAAGGAAAGGTTCCTGTTGAAGGCTATCCGCTTGGTTGTTGTTCTAGATCGCCTCGTGTAATGTTTCATTTTGCGTGTAATAGCCGACTAACTTATCATGTGCACACATATTCATGCGGTCCGACATTGCAATCTCGATCATCTCGTTTGCGGTCGGCCTGCATAAGTTCGAGCACCAAACGCAGAGCACACAACGTTTCAGTATCACTGTTGCATAGAAAGAGGGCCCCCCAAGCGCGGGCAAGGGGGCTTAAGGCTTACGGGATCCATTAGCTGGGGTCAAGGTGGGGAAGCATCAGGGGAGGATTCAAGGGGCCTTAGGGGGGGGGGGCTTCAAGGGGGCCTCTGAGAGGAACTCAAGCCGCACTTGCAGGAATGTCTTGGCTCTCCGCTAAAGGCTCCCTTACGTACCCAGCTTTCTCAATAAACCTTGGAGTTGCTTGAATTTTTGGGCATCCTGGAATACGGCCCTGCTAAGCGCCCTTGCCATCATCTTGATGGTTATCCTTCAGCTGTTTTCGCATTTGCATAAAGCCGCTTAAGAAATTTCAAGAATGCCCTCAAAGAACCTCCGTTAAGCAGCCCTTTAAGACTCCTTCTTAAATCAATTGTATTGGCTATCATATCATTAAGTGCTTTCCTTAGTCCGTGAACAAATTTGGGGGCCAGCAGATTTTGCATTACCCTGGCTTCATCAACATCTGTGTATCTAAGCGTCATGCATTCTCATTGTGATCGTGAAACAAAGCAAAAAAAACACATGCGAGCTTCAAACAGAAAAAATGTGGCTGTGAACGGGGATGTTGGAATTCGACTTTGTTTCATTGCGGAAAACAAACAAACATCAACAACGAATTCTGTCCCTCTGAGGTATTCCATCGAGCGAAAGGAACGTCCTAAAGTCGAGTTAAAACCCTAAAATTCCATTTCAGCAGAGGAAGAGGAACCCAGCCTTTCAAATGCGGAATCCACCAAAAAAAAATCATCCTAAATACCCCAATTTCGACTCCCAACTCCTGAATCCAAAACATTTCACCCCAATATATCCATATCTTATTCATATTCTTTGGACCCTATTCATTCTTTCTCATTACCGCAGGCGGGGGCTTGAAGGAGAGTCAGGCGTAGGGAGGAACTTAAAGGGGGTTCACAAAGTGCTTAAGGAGGATTTAACGGGAATTTGAAGTCGTAAGCATACGTAAGCATACGGAAGCATACGGAAAGATTGTTTGAAGGGGGCGTTGAGGGGCTCAAGCCGCCCTTTAGACAAGGAGAGGTCTGCAGTATCGGGAGGTTTGAGCTGCACAACCACCAACTTTCGTATCGCTTTTGCCTAGCATGGATCCTGCAATATCGAGGGGCCTGCTGAACCACCAATTTATGCATAACTTCTACATAGCATGTTTTTATGCGGAATGGGGGGTCTGAGCCATATATAACCTCCGCAGAACCTCCGCATAAGCTGTGCATAGAATCTTTTGTATACCGCCATTGCAGAGCGGCAACCTCCGCATAACCTGCGCATAACCCCCGCATGACCTCCACGTAAATGCATTCTACGTAAACATTTGCCTCATTGATGGCTTTTGTCCGCAGAACCGCATAACCTCCGCATAACTTCTGCATGGAATCTGGTTTCTATGCGGAGGTTTTGCAATGACCGCATGTATGCGGAGGTTATGCGGAAGTCGTAAACTAAACCCGTAGACTAGAACAAAACCAAAGCTTTGCATAGAAAAAATCTATTCAATGGTTTGGTTTTGCAATGGCCGCATATGCGGCAAAAACGGCGGCAAGAGTCATTACTTTTTGTTGTCTTTTATTTTTTGTTGTTTCGGTTGTTTTATTTTTTGCCATTTGGGCGGGGGCGTGTTTTATTTTTGCTGTTTGGGCGGGGCCACGCCCCTGCCCAAACAGC